AAACATTGAGTGTATTTCAAATGAATAATACCTTATTAATCAATTTTATAAATTAGATATTTTCATATATTCTAATAAAATATTATTTAATAAAATATTATTTAATGCATGTTCACTTAGTATTTCCAAACAATACCGTTAAGCATTCACTCTGTCCATTTAATATCGGAAGTGTACTAACAGTTGTTTTTATTAAAGTTTATTGTTTATGTTAATGTTTAATTTTTGGACACTGAGCTTGAAAATCCATAATGTGTTGAACTGTTTTTTAATGGCTTGAGCACAAGCCGTTTCCTTCAGGAGTAAAAAACGTATTGAACATATCAATCATGACAATTAATTTGATATGCAATACGTTGATCAACTAAATTAATATGGCGAGTTGGAATTCCCTAGCAGCAACGGGTCACTTTATATATCTATATCTATATATATTCGGCCAGGCATGCTTCTTAGTAGAAAAAAGATAGATTATTTTTTAGCTAAACATCCCCCTAATATATTACAATTATGCTGGATTAATTTTATTCTACTCTCGTTGTTCTGTTACCGCTTTACGCCGAAGAGTTCATTTTATCTTGAGGAAAGGTTTTCGCAAGTCGGAAATACTTTCTTGAGGACAGCGTTTACGCGACTCGAGCTATATTATTTTTCTAACGCTTTTTTGCAGGTTTATCCGGCCGAATTCCTCCAACAATTTCAAGAAAGTATTTGGTGTTGGATGTGCCTGCACATATCATCTCACAAGGCGTTGCCGCCGCACTTATCGGGGCTATGTTATATCTACTTGTGCGTTGCGAAGTAGGCTGTGATACACCCGCATGGGGAGCCGTATTAATCAGATTAACGCTCAGAAAAGTCTTCTACGTATAATGGTTAGTCTCTCCACTTTCCTACTTACAGTACGCCATACTTTAACACCACTTTTTAAGAAAAAATGGTATTCGTTTATTTAGTGATAAAATGACAACTATGAAAAACAATAACCCACTAAGATCAAGTTTAAACTTGGTTTGTAGTGATAATAATTTTATTGAGGTTGTTTCTCAAAGTTGTAAAACTAATGATGTGAATGAGTGGACGGTAAACTTTGGGGCTACCAAGCATATTTGTAAAAACAAAAATGCTTTTACTTCCTATACAATTATAGGAGATGGTGAAGAGCTCGTGTACCTAGCGGACTAAAACCGTTAAGGTGCATGGAAAAGGGAAAGTTCTTCTGAAGCTCACATCGGGAAAAACTTTATCACTAAATGATGTGTTTCATGTGCCCGAGATTCGAACTAATTTGGTTTCCGTTTCTCTCTTGGGAAAAGTTGGGGTTAAAGTTTCTTTTGGTTATGACAATTTTGTTATGACCAAAAACGACGTTCTTGTGGGAAATGGCTATTGTAAGGATGGATTTTTTGTGCTTAGTACTTTTGAAATGTTGCATGACGATGCTTCTGCATACTTACGGTTCTTTAATTATTGTGTTATGTGATATAATCGATTTGACATTTTACATAACAATTTTTTTGTTGGTCTTTACTTTTGTTTGACTTATGAAACTCCTAAATATCTTAATATTGATATTTAGTGATATGGGAGCATGTCTAGAAAATTGTGATATATTTGATGAATGTATATAAATTTTATTAGAGCATCTACACTGTGATTAGAGGTGGTAAAAGTTCTTTGTCACATTTATTGGTGATTTTTCGAGATAAACTAAATTTTATCATATTTAAATTTAAAAAGCGAGTTTCTTTTTAATAAAATCATTGTGTACAAATAAAGGTTGAGATATAAATTATCTCTCTATGAAGTTTAGAAGGGCTATGCACCTGTTTTTTAAATATTTAAAATTGTGGGGGTGCTTAGCTAAATTTTATTACCTACCCGAGTATTTCATTTAGTGAAAATAACTCTTGGCCACTTTTGCATAAATTGAAATAGTGGAGCATATATATGCTTTTCTTAAATGAAAGAAATAGTGTGCTAATGTGCAACGCTTTATGATATATTATTGATGTTATTAATGTGGCCGTTTTTGGAGAATGTGTACACACTAAATGATGCATGTGTGATTTTTTTATACGCCGTTGAAACAAAAATGCTGAATTTTTTGAGAATGTGTTTCCTTTGAAAATTGAACACAAGCCCGTTGCGCCATATAGTGATTGTGATCTATTACAAGAAAATAAAACCTTAATGATGAACCCTTTAGTGATAGTGATCCATTAAAAGAAAATTATTCTTTTAATGATGAACCTTCTCCTTTGAGAAGAAGTAAGAGGCCAAGGATAGAGAAATCCTTTGGAAATGTTTTTTATTCATATCTTATTAATCTTATTAATGATGAATTTTGACTTGTTCACAAGCTATTTCTTCAAAAAAAAAATCTGGTGAGCTAAAGGAAGATATTTATATATGGTGCAACTGGCAGGTCATGTGGTTACTGGTTAGGAACACAAATGTGAAAAATTTGATGAAGTGTTATTTGCTTATGAGAAGTAGATATTAGTGTGTATGCACTAAATGTGAAAATGGTGTGTGCATTATTATTTGCTTGTATGCGGATGATATGTTAATTCTTAGTAGCAACCTTTTTTATAATAATTAAGTCAAAATCCTTTCTTGCTTTAAAATTTGTCATGAAAGACCTGGGGGAAGCGAAATTGATTTTGAGTATGAAAGTCATAAGGAAGGATGATAGTATATATTATACTATCTCAAGAGTATTATGCTGAAAAACTTCTAAAAGAGATTTGGACATTTTCAATGTCACCCGTGTGAGCACCCCTTGTGACTATCATACACACTTGAAAAAATATAGAGGTGATCCCGAGACTCAATATGAGTATTCCCAAATTTAATTGATGTTTATTACACTTAATGAATTATGTGATGCCCGACATAGCTTATGTTGTGGGAAGATTGAGCCAATATACTAACGACCCAAGTGGGGATCATTGGACTGAGTTGAGGCGGTTGTTGAGATATTTGAGAGGTACCATTAATTATGGTATTTTTTTATTGAGATTATCCGTTGTAATCTATTGATACAACGATGATATGTTTTATTGAGAAATATCCATTGTCCTAGAGCGGTACAATGATGTTATATGAAAATTATCCATTTGTACTATAATGATACAATGATGGTATATATTTTATTGAGAATTATACGATGTCTAGAGGGTCACATCAATGTTATATTTCTTATTGAGAATTATCCGTTGTATTATCAGGATACAATGACGACATCTGAGTCGACTCACACGAGATAAATTAAAACAGTGGATATCCATTCACCCTTAAAAGTGGTGAAATGATGCTTGAGAATGGAATTATCTCCATTAATTTTGTGAAGTCAGAAGGAATTAGCTACTCCTTTGACAGAATCCCTAGGACGAAAAATGACAACCGAAACATCGAAGGAAATGGGACTAGTGTCACTTCGAAACAAATGGGGATGAGAACCCAACTTGTGTGATTGGAGATCCCATGAAGCAAGTTCATATGGGTAATAACAAGTTTTCCATTTAGTTCTGCTATCCTAACTAAAATTGTCCATTTCCATGATGTGAGATATAGACTAGAAACCGCATTCTTTGAGAGGGTGAGCTAAAAACTCTTAATGATTATCATAGCCTTTAACTTAAGGGTGGTGTGCAAAAGCGGTACACACTTGATGATATCACCTATATGAGTGTGAGGTGGGGCCGCCTCTATGAAGCATGACAAAACTTCTAGAGCACTCATGAACATCAAGCACGCGCATGGCCTTACGGTGCACAACGGCGTAATAACGAGAAATTGTGCAGGGTGACACACGACTGTTAAGACCCTGATTTACCAATAATAGCTTTTTGGTTCAAGAAACTATACGTTTCACCATAAGCTCGATTTATTAAGACTTAATCGTCTCGGTTTGGTTCATAGTCTACGGGCACCAAACTTAAAGTCTCATACCTTTAATCGAGCAGAAAGTTTCTAAACTATTTTCAAAATCTAAAATTATTCGTTTGAAATATGTGGGGGATTGTTGGAAATATTGAGTGTATTTCAAATGAATAATACCTTATTAATCAATTTTATAAATTAGATATTTTCATATATTCTAATAAAATATTATTCAATGCATGTTCACTTAGTATTTCCAAACAATACCGTTAAGCATTCACTCTGTCCATTTAATATTGGAAGTGTACTAACAGTTGTTTTTATTAAAGTTTATTGTTTATGTAAATGTTTAATTTTTGGACACTGAGCTTAAAAATCCATAATGTGTTGAACTATTTTTTTAAATGGCTTGAGCACAAGTCGTTTCCTTCAGGAGTTAAAAACGTATTGAACATATCAATCATGACAATTAATTTGATATGCAATACGTTGATCAACTAAATTAATATGGCCAATTGGAATTCCCTAGCAGCAACGGGTCACTTTATTTATCTATATATATTCGGCCATGCATGCTTCTTAGTAGAAAAAAGATAGATTATTTTTGAGCTAAACATCCCCCTAATATATTACAATTATGCTGGATTAAATTTATTCTACTCTCGTTGTTCTGTTACCGGCTTACGCCGAAGAACTCGTTTTATCTTGGGCAAATGTTTTCGCTAGTCAGAAATACTTTCTTGAGGATAACGTTTACGCGACTCGAGCTATATTATATCTCTAACACTTTTTTGCAGGTTTATCCGGCCGAATTCTTCCGACACTTACTCGCGCACGAACTGAAGGCGTTGTGAGACTATGATGTTTAACTTTGGTGGTGGGAGTTAATGAGGTATCATCTCGGTCCATAGGTCCGAAGATGTCTCGGGCCTGGTGGCCTTTATTTCATTGGATGGAGGTGAGTTTCCGTGGGGGGGGGGGGGGGGGGGGCATGGTGGAGGCAAAATGACCGTTGGAAGTGATCGCTGGTAAAAGTGCTCGTGTCGGACATTGATAGGGCCGTTGTGGGCGGGTTTTCTTATTGGGTTGGCAAAACGGTTCATGATGGTGGATTTTTAGCTAGAGGGTATGGTTTCGAGGTAACCGCGGTTAGGTTGGCTATTAATATCTGATGGCTGGAGTCATTACCCCATGCGCGTTTTGAGAATTTGAAGCAAAGCTCTGTCCGATTTTAGAGTGATAAACCCCCCACCAATCAAAACTATTTTCAAGGTCAGCTCTTCACTTGTTCTTGTCGTTTGCCTTATACTTTGCTTGCTAGACCTTAGGTATGGTGTTGGTACTCCTCGCATGTAGGTTCGACTGTAGTTCTTCTGTCGTTAGTGTCTGAAATGATGTCGTCCGAAGGTGATTCGTAGAACATATCGCCGTCGGCGTCGGTACAGCCCAAGAGCTGGCTGGAGGAGACGTCACCCCAGTCTGCATCCCTCTTTGTGGAGTAATTCTGAGGTTGCCAGGGAGCTGGATGGTCACATCTGTGTGGAATTTGACGTTGAGGGCTTCGTATAAAAGTTGGAAGACGTACAATGATTTAGCTGAGATCGTCCAAGTAGAGGAAGAAGAGCCTGAGAGGGAACGCCTTCGTTTCCAGACTACGGTGTCATCGAGAGGTAACAACGGAGTTGGTCCTTCTTCACAACTACCCTGCCCGAAGCCTCTACAAGCGGTGAGGGGGGAAGGGGAAAAGGACCGAGGAGAAACAAAGGCAACCCCTCGACATTCCGAAGGGCATTCATTTTTCAACACGATGACTATGGCGTTAAGGATGAGGGTGGATGATGCTGATCTTCGTACAATGCAGTTTATGTCGAGCTCTCAGTGTTAATGGTGGAACCAGGACTGAGGGACACATTATTGGCACCCCCTCGAGGGGAGTTTTGTAGTTCATGTGCTTTCAGTCACAATGGGGATTCGGCTCCCACTACATCCGTTCTTGCTGGAGTACATGTGTCAAATGACCCTCAATAGCCATTCGTATATCTCTGGGCTCCTGTGGGTGTGTAAGGCGATGAGGGTGGAGCCTTTCCTCGACCTCTTTTTCTTGTGTGTAAATCTTTGCCGGGGAGGGCATGCAAATAGCGACGACTTTGCCAATTTGCAGCATGTACCAGAGTGGAGGTTGTTCAAGGAGGGGTCTTCGTCGCACAAGGGTTGCAAAAATCGCTTCTGCTATATACAGATGGCTGAGAATCCATTTCCTAAGCCTTGTCGTGACAGATTTCGATGATATCCGGAGGTGGGGAGTTTCGCCCACAAGAAGGAGGGACATGTGCTAGTGTTGAATGGGATTTCGGGCATATATAATTTATGAAAATTTTCCTTTACATGAGTAGATTTTGGACTTCTTACTACTCGAAGGACTTGAAATTCCTTTTATATATGGGTAGGTGCACACACGTAAGGTAATTGTTCATATTCTAGTTGGTGATTTGATGGGGTTGGTTTATCGGGGTGGGTCATGCTCAAAGGAGACCCATGTACTCGTTTCGGGATATCTTGGTTGAGTCACGATGAAAGGTGAACCATGCACTCGATTGGTTCGGGAATTCTTTTGAGTTCTCCCTCATCGTTTAAAAGAAACTATGGAACTAGAGTATGAATTTTTTTGGTGGATTTTTATTGGCAAAGGTTTAAGCAAGACAATTTTCACTCCTTTATTGAGTTTGATTTATTTCAAATTTATAAATGATAGTTTAGCTATAAAGATTGCTTTTAGATGTGATAGTTAATTTACTTCTATATGAAGATTTAGAAAATGAATTACTTAAAGTGAGCAAATATTATTTTCAAATATAAATGTGATTTTGAATTATGCAAATTATTCTCGAGTTATAAATGTTATTTGAAATATTAGATGATGTTTTTAAACAAGAAATAATTTTTTGGAAAGTCTAGATTTTTTAGAAAACTATTTTAAGTACCAAAAGCTATTTTTATCAAACTATATTTTTTTACGGGTTGAGCGAGTCTTACTTTGCTATAAACTTTATTCTAACAATCGGCCTAGTCGTCTGATTGATCGACGCCTAGATGCTATGCGGCCCCCAACTATGGAGGACTAATTGGCCAAGATATCACGCAAATTATACCGTGGGATCGGCCCACCTTCCGCATGGTGTGCCGATCCCACTTTAGGCAAGTGCCTTTCTTTTTCTTTCTTCCTGGAGCAACGTAACATTCATTCCCTTTCTTTTATGTTTCTTATTTTATTTTTCTTTTGTTCAATTCTTTTCTTTTTGCATCAAATTAAAATACTAAAAATTTAATGGCAATCCTACTTTTCTTTATCTTCATCTTAAATTATAATTGAATCTATTTTTTTATTCTTTATCAATACATAACAAAAAGTTTGTTAATCTAAATAAAATAAGTATATTGCATTTCATATTCATACACTATTTTTGTTTATGTAATATTTTTCATATTCATATACTTTTTTTGTAATATACTTTTTATATGCATACACTTTTTTGTAATATTTTTTATAGGTTTACACTTTTTCTATAATGTTTTTTTATCTTCTTTTGCGCGAGTTACATCTTAATGTACGAGAGTTACATCTTTATGTACGCAAGTTACATATTAATGCATGCGAGTTACACCACGGAATAAACCCATGCTATATCATTTTTATAGCCTTAATATTAAAAATAAAACATATTCACCATTTTAAAAAAGTAATTAAGGTATTAGGATCAATTTTTCATTGTTTAAATTGAAAACAATGTTTATGATATATATTGTTACATTCTGTATACACCTAAGTTATATTTGTCCTCAACGCGAGTTACATTTGTAATAAAATGAGTTACATTAAAAAACCAACCCCTTATATTGAAACAAAAAAGATCTTTTTAAAAAAATTATTTTTTATGGTCATGATATTAAAAACAAAACATATTCACGGTTTACCTAAAGCAATTGTTCAATTAGACTCTCTTTTTTCATTATTTACATTGAAATGAATATTGTATTTCTAATATTTCTAATACTATGTATTTGACAAGTTACATTTCGAATGCACTTGAGTTACATTGATCAATAACGTAAGTTACATATCTTTACATGCGAGTTACATCACTCATGGTACTGGGACAAAAAGGAAAAAATGTTACTGTACACGCGTGTACTGTTCATGTGTGTACTGTTCATGCGATTTAAAAAAACTATGCAAAACTACATCGTTTTGGGAGTGGAGCACGGTGCTCACCGTGGGATGATCCCACGGTATACGAACGGAAGATATCGGCCTAGCCGGTGCCTAAGCATTAGGCGCTCATCAACCGCTCGAGTGCCTAGCGAATTATAGAACAGGGGCTATAAAGCTATTTTTTGTTTTGTTTTGATCTTGCATTTTATTTTATGCAGATGATGATGATTGTGCTTGATGATGATGATTGTGCTTGATCACCTAGTTTAATGACTAGTTATTTACTTATTCATCTAGATTTGGATCTCAAGAAATTGTAGACAATTAATTTGTTTTGGATTTAGTTACTTAAATACACAAAACTCATAAATCAATTGTTTTCCAAAATAAATTAATTTCATTCTGCAATCTTGCAGCGTACGGATTGGTTGAAAAGTATTTATACATTATGTTGTGTTTAATTATGGTTTTACGAGCACTGTAAACTTCCTCCATGGAGTTTTGGATGTAATTTGTTGATGAATTTTTCATTGGTTGTAAATAAACGGTTGTCTATGTGGCCATTTTATTCATTTTATATATCATGAAGATTAGTGAAAAGTAATGGAAATTTACACAATATGTATGAGGGTCACCCAATTCAATTTTTTTTTGATGATCGCCTTTGTTGGTGAATATATTTGAGTAAGCAACAAATTATTTTAGATATATAATTGTTGGACATATATGAGCAAATTTGAATGTCTAACTAATTGATAGCCACACATGAGCAATTTGTGCTTCGTTTTAATATATTGTGCTTACTAATCTCTTATCTAAATCAATAAAAGTTTGTTGTTTTTCATAAAACTGAGTATTTGATCTTTTCTCTTGTTGAGTTATCATGTTGGATGAAACATTCAACTTTCTTGAAAAAGTTGGCAATATGTTTTTGTGCGTGAGATATGGATCAAATGAGAATATGGTTTGATGGGACAATAAAAATGAACTTGTTCTATTAGATTTGATAACTATATATTCGTCGAAACAACAAATGTATAAGGGCATGAAGTTTAAGATCTACTGACATCTAAAAATCATGGTGGTGCGTTGATAAATAAACTGAATTTTCCTACCTCTGTAAAATATGCATCACTATATATATATATTTCTACTTGTTCGTAGTGCACCTTGTCATTCAAAGTAATGAATATTTTGCAATAATAGAAATGCAATGGTGCATTTTTACCCATTCTTATGCACATTTACATTCAAAGTGATGCATATATATCGAGATGTATATATATAAATGGTTTTCTATGTTTTATTTGCATCACTAGTATTCCACCTGTGCGTTGCACGGGGTGTAAGAATACAAATATTATAAATAAATAAAAAATCATTTTACCTCTAAATCAAATTAAAGATTATATTACAATTTATCACGGGAATGAGAATAACCACTACTAAATAGTAAATATAGAGGAAAGATCATGTGAGAAGTGTCCCTTAAAATGGGAAATGAGAACTAATCTTAGCTCTTGGATTTGCATCTAATCTTATAACGCAGTAAACTTATAGACTAAATATAGGAACTTATAACCAATAAATCATAACTTATAAAGTTCTCCATAATAATTACGAAAATGCCACCACGGCAAATTTTTTTCCAGGTTTTCGTAGTTAATTTTTGCGGTGGCATTTTCATAATAATTTTTGAGGGGTCTATAAGTTATGATTTATTGGTTAAAAGTTCCTGTTTTTAGTCTATAAGTTTAACTTCGTAGTTTTCAGCTTAAGAGTACTTCTCACCCGATCCGTTCTCACTAAATACATAATAAAAAATATATTTGGAGTTTAATAAGCATACAGTATACGATAGTATTAGTATTATTATTTATAACAATATGTGATGTGTATATATTCATATATGTCCCTGAACTTGCAATGAAACGAATTTAGAAAACTTAATAACTCAATAATTCAGCCCCATTCAATATTAATATTACCCATAATACTATTACTTTGTATGTAAATTGTAGGGAAAACTATCAAATAAGTCCACGTACTATACTAAAAAAGTCAATAAAGTCCTACTACTATTAAATCATTCGATTAAATCCTCAACTTTCAAAGAATGCTTAAATCTCACTTTTAGCCGGTAAATTACCGGTTACCAGTTCAAAAGACATATGTGGCATCCACCTACCTTTTCTTTTTCCTTTTTATTTTTCTGTCCCTTCTTCTTCTTTTCCTTCCCCTTTCTTCGTCCAAACTTCTTCCTTCCAATCTTCAGACCTGCGTGCTCTAGGTTTCTTCTTTGTTTTTCTTTTACATTTTTTCATTCTTCTCTTTTGATTCGTACGTAGTATTATACGGAGTATAACTCCTGCTCCCCTCCCCCATCTTCATGATAGGGCGACATCAACATGCAACTGTGCAACTCCTGGACGCCGGCTGCGGACTCCGGCAACAAACGCCGGCAACGGAGTCGTTAAGCTCCACGCTGCTCATTCCCTCACCACCGTGTTGCTTTTCATCGACAAATCATGAATCCGAAGCCCAAATAGATGAAGAGAGGCAGAGGTCTTTGGTATCAACTACCAAATAAGAGAGAGATAATCAATAGAGAAGAGAGGAAGATCGAAGTTTTAGATCCCAAAGAAGAGAAAAAGGGGGAGAGGGAAGGAAAGAAAAGGGTGGAAATTGGGGGGTCAGCGGAGGTTGGTGAGATAGACGGCGAACTCGCCGGAGAATTTAGATATAGGTAGTAGAGAGCCAAGAAGAAATTGAACTGAGAGAAAGAAAGGAAGAAATTAAACTGAAAAGGGAGAAACTGAACCAATCGTACAACCAGGGAGAAGGAAGGGAGCGAGGAGAAGGAAAGGGAAACAAAGAAAAAAAGGGGAAAGAAAAAATTAGTGCCACATAGGCATCCATGTTAGCTGTTACCGGGAGTAATTGTCATCAACCGGCCAAAACGTAAAATTGAACATTTTTTAATAGTTGGAGGACTTAATTGAGTGATTTTATAGTACGAGGACCCTATTGACTTTTCAGATATAGTACAAGGACTTATTTGATAGTTTTCCCTAAATTGTATTAAAGTCAATACTCTTAAACACTCAAAATAACACTCATAAAATATTAAATGAAAATTCAATGGCATTGAGAAGGCTAAGTTCAAAATTGTTTGAAACAATAGGTGAACAAAAGTATAAAAGGCGGCACTGAATTAAATATCAAATAATAATCCAATATCATGGCTTTTCAATCTTCACGGGCTTAAGTTTCTTGTTGCTTGAGCCCTGTGTTGAGTCGTTGACATCACAAATGAGTGCTTCTTCCAATTCTCGATAGTCCACTTGATTTTGGAGTTTCTTTCCCATCATTTTCAGTGTCTGAAATAACCTGCAATAAAAAATTTGTAAAATGCCTCTCAAATTTAATATTTACTATGTTACTATTCTGGTGAAGTCAACTGAATGACGTTGT